TTGACGATCGAGAACAAAAGGGCTTTTAGTCAAGTGGTGCCTGATTTCGACTTCGACGCGAGAATGATGTCGTGATGACGGGCTTTGGAAATGCTTTTGGAAGGAGATTATAGGAGTGTTTGGAATTGTTTTTGAAACTCTCAAAAATATTTTGTACAATAAACGATGCAACTAGAGTGTTTGGTAAATGTGTACAAAAATACTTAACATATAAATCAATATACTTTTTAAGTTATTTTGAGAAGTTAGAATGTATAGCTTTTAGATTCTACTTCTGTTTCTATTTTTGTTTTAAATAAAAGTAATGTTTCTATTAAAAACACAACAATTATTTTAAAAGCACAATAATCCAAAACTGGCCGTATGTTGGGAACAAAAGCCTTGGTATAGTGAAAGGCCAGAAGAACCTAACAAACCTTTGGTTTTAGGAAATTGGGAAAGAAACAACTCTTGTTCTTTCTCTTCAACATCACAAAGCAGTTTATTGCTTCCTTGTTGGGTTATACAGTGGTTCATCAAAACTAGTGTTAAGTATTGGTGATTTGGGTAGAACAAAGGTAATTGAAAATCAAGGACTCTACACAAACACACACATATACATATATTTATATTCTTATATATATATTATATGAATCAGGTAGTGTTGAATTTAAGGTAATAAATTTGGCTTTATGACCCTTTTAAGTTAGGAAACGTTCTATTGACGGTGTTTTTCTGACAATGAGTGATCTATTCTCTAAAAACACTCTCAGTAACACTCACGGCTTAGTTAAAGATTAAAGTGGAAAAATAATGCAAAGGAGACATAGATTTATAGTGGTTCGGCAAGAACTCTTTACCTAATCCACTTGTGGATGCACTAATATCTTCTGGGATTACAAGCTCTCTAGGAGTAATGAAATAGTGCGTAACCCTTCAATAGACTTTTTTGGCTCTATTTATAAGCCTTTACATATAATCATTTCTTTTGCACTTCCCGATGAGGAAGTCATCTTCTATCCCTTGATTTTAAGATGGCGTAGGTGTATTTTCATGATGGTAATTTCAGGAAATCAGGCTGACTTCTCTTACCGGCCGCCTGATTTCTTGATTTCGACAGTAGCAGTTGGCGCAGTGTATATTTTCCTGAGTTGACAAGACTTGTTGATGGATTTGACTGGACTTGCTGCCTCGACGTAATGGCCACGATGCTCGACGTTCGTCGTCTTGCATGGGCTCTCGACGTCCAAAGGACACCTTAGCTACAGTAGTTCTCTCGACGTCTGCAACCGGTTCTCAACGAGGAGTCCTCGGCGCCTGTCGTGCGAGAGGATGGCCGATTGCTCGACCATGGTGTAACACGTTCCATGAGTTTCAATTATCGATCTATTACTTTTACACACGATTAGTTATTACACTGTACAAAGAGTGAAGGGTAACGTACAACAAGAACAACAAATGCAAGTACTAATCAGCTAAAGAGCCTTTTTAATTCAGTTTAATTCTTGCATTAATTAGCCTGGAAAAAATTAACCGTATTCATGTTTCGAAACAAGAGTACTCTATTTGTAGAGCCCAAGACTCGCTTTTCCAGCAAAATCTCTCTCTAACATTAATTAATGTTCTTCATTGATTATCAAATTGTTGATGAACATTCGAGCCAAAAAAAAAAATTTAATTTGTTGATGAACATTTTTTCTAGTACTTAATTAACTCCATTGGTAACTTATCATGCAGCAGGCAAAAGGTGTAGGCTGTTGATGAATGAGCAATGTTTTCACACGATGCAAAAAAAAAAAAAAAAAGTGTATAAAAGCGTAATAATTAAATAAGCAGCTAGATTAAGATGTGTCTTGTAAATGATGGACTTGTTTGACAAAAAAGAAAAAAAAAGGTAGAACAAATAAATATTAATATTTTTTATACTAAGTAATCATTATTGAGTGCGACTTAAAATGACCTTTAGTTTTGGTCTTGCCTTTCTATTTGTATGTGCATCATCTGTATATATATATCATCTCTTCATTCCCACACTAATGCGCTTGATTGTGTGGCCTAATTCATTTTATCGATTTGAGTTTTTAATTTTAAATTTTTACAGTTAAAATTTTTTAAAAAATATCACATTTAATTTTTTTTATTATAATCAAAAATTTTAAAAAATATCACATTTTAATTAAAATTAAAAATTTAAATTCGTAAAGTGAACTATACTTATTGGCTCACATCTGGACTTTTTTAGCTTATAATTGTATGTTGGAGAGGTCCTTTGGCGAATAGGCTGGCCCAAATCCCTAAGCATTTTGAGAGAAAGAGTCCAACGGCTACGAGGCGCAACTGATCACGGCTCAATAAATATCATGCATAAAAATTGTATAGATATTTTAGGTTTATTTAGAAAATATATTGTTGGTTTTCGAATGTTGCAAATGTATGCCATCAAATTGCATAACTTTTCTCAATCAGTTGGTGATTTGACTAGAAAAGGCATGATTAGTACATTAATGAATTAGTAATACCCTGGATATTAATGGCCTATTAGATATATAGGTTCAAACCATAATCTTAATTATATTTTTGAAATTTAAATTTATTGTTGGAGAAAAATATTATAGTAAAATCAAAATTATAGATTTACACTGTAGCAGAATCATATGCCAAAATATTACCTAAAGATTAAGGAAAAAAAAAAAGAAATTTTTATAAGGTGGGAAGTTTTCAACTTCTCCCGGCTAAAGACTTGTGACTAGTCTCTGACTCGCTGATACTTTTTCTTTTTTGACACAATACAAATTTAGTGCTTGCTTCCCTTGTTGGACTCTCTCAATCATTGACACGCCGCTGTATCAAATTTGATTGTCAATTACCAACCAAAAAAATTCTTTTTTATTCGCAAAACACATAAAACTCTTTTGAACGCCATCAAAATGTTACTCTGATTGCCACTATATTGATGCACTTCTGGGCCTGTTTGCCAACTTGATCAATTTTCCTTTAGTGCCCTTTTTTTTTTTCCTCCCATATCAATGGAGAGATTTTTTTTGAAGACTATCAACGTAGAGATTTAAAAACATCCAAAAGAGGGTGATCACTGATCAGAAAATGTCAGTGCCTATAACAAGCATTTGTGATTGGAACCTGAGGCTCCGAGAATGTTCCATTTCTGATATCATTAGCAATCCAACGGTTTGCAGCCTCAGTGTAGTGCACACCATCCCAGCTAATGTACAATGAAGGATCTTCACATGATCCTGCATAAATCTCACTACCATTTATTTTTCCCTTGTTCCCACACCACACATGATCATTATCTTCGTGATAACCGCAACATATACTTGCCTTGTCCAAAAATCCTGCAAAATCAGACAACAAGAAAACAATTAAAAAAAAAGTATTACAATTACAAACATTCGATCATAACTGTTTGTGTTTTTTTTTATACCTTGTTGCTTTGCATTGGCGAGCAGTTCGTATTTTGCAGCGTACAAATCGACGTATGTTAATGTGGCAAGAGGGAGCTCTTCCCTTAAGTCGTTGACTCTGAGCTTGAGTTGCCGGTTGAACTCTCTTGCCATGTCGTTTTGAAACTTGACACAGCCAAGATGGTCAACGTAGCCGGTGGGGAGTGGATCGTGGAGGTAATGCAGTGTCACTGCCAAGCAACCAATAGGGCCGGTGTTATGTATCCAAAATGCCCTTGCTCCTTGTTGGTACAGGTTCTGTAAAGATAACATCAATCCTGATCAATGATAATGACACCCTTTAAACATAGCAATTAAGCTAATAGAGTTTCTTACTTGGATGGCTGTGGCAAACTGGTTGATTATATCAGGGATTTCTGCTTTTAACTTCTCATTAGTCATTGTCCTGAACCCTGCGGCAAGATCATTTTGGCCAATATCAAATATGTATAGAGCCTTTGAGAAGTCCTCCGGTCTCGGCAGATTGCTTCTGTTAGAGCTTTTCTTGTCTGCAGATTATCACAAATTCACAACCAAAATTTCCCTTAATACAATTAATAAAAGTTAGTTTAAAGCAGTTTGGATGATGGGGTGATGATTATTATAGATGAAAAATGACCTTGGTTGTAAAACCAGCCGGTTCGCGACTTGAACTGTGTAAACTGCGCAACTTGGATGTCAAGAGAAAAGGGGCTCACGCCATTAAGAAAAAAAGATTCATTTTGACGCCTTATGGTTGATCCTCCTGTGGCAAAATTAGCACCATGCCTGAAATTTGCTCCAATTGAGTCCAAGTATGGGCTCAAGTAAGGCAATCCAAGGTGTTTTGCTACATAAACACGTGCAAAAACTATTTAGTACTGCATATTAGTCCTTTAAATTTGACATAAATCTAATTCTAAAGAAGAGAAGTTGAAGTTAGATTGTAGTGTGATACCAATGAAATCTATTAGTAGGCGACCATCACAACCCCTCCCAGCTGGTCTGTGGAAGAAAGTTTCGCCGCAGGGAGGTGCCATCGGGTAAAACGCAGCTGATCCGCCACCGGTATCTGAGTTGGAGTCTCCAAAGTTGTAAATTGCAGGGAAGTCACAAGGTGACACATCTATCACTTCTTCACCTTCAATTTTCAGAACCCATGTAGCTAAAAAACAAGCAAAAAAGAATCTTGCTTTAGGCTCCATTTTTCACTATTCTGACTATACGTTACTTATAGATGGTCGTGCAGCATTAGTGCCTCACCAAATTTATACATGCTTAAAGGCTTAGTAGCACGAGGATAATAAATTAATTAAGGAAAATATTAAATAATACGTATCACGAAAGACAATGGTCTCCCAAAAGCAATATAAACATACCATGATAAGAAAAAATATATTCTTGAGTTTGATGTACTGCTTGCTTTCTTTATTATAGTGCTCGAATTCAAAAACCTTTTTACACTAAACCGTCGTAACAAATGAGTTGTCATTTTCTTATTAGTAAACACAAGCTTTCTATACTTCTTGACATGATAATCCTTTTTTTTTTTTTAAATAAACATTAAAAGGTACAAGTGGAGTTTAACACTATACTAATAAAGAATGAGACCCACAAATACAGTCCAATCCCTATTAGCTACGGTGTTCGACATCAGTGATGTCGCCATGCATTTTTCTTATTTAAACACTTATCAAATAAAAGATTAGCAACTCACTTATTAAGTCATTTATTAAGTCATTTGGTATTAAAAAAGTTTTGGATAAAATTTGAGATACTTACCATTATACTTTCTTTGTTTGTCAACATTATGTGTCGGTGTTACTGTAATACAAGTTAGATAGCTGTCTTTTTTTGCTAAATACAACCTAGCTAGCTGTGGTTACTTTGTTCTTTTCTCTCATGATCTACTGTTGTTATAACATAAAAACCGCCTACTAGATAAGGCATCTCCATCTTAAATAATTTACCTGCAAATAATATCTTAATTGCGGATTCATTCCTGTGAGCTCTTTTTGTCCACTTTAAGCAGAATTGAATCCTGGGATGGCGCCTAACTTTAATACTTTATGGCTTGGCAGAAAAATTAGACCCATCTTTGTTTTAAACAATTTTATATAATATCTCTTGACTTGCTTAATTATTGTATATCTCTCCAAAGAGACAGAGAGTGTTTTGTGGGTAAATGCATTTAGCATGCAAATGTTACTCCGTTTAGTTCGCTTATTCGAGTTGAGATGTGACTTTATGTGATAACTTTTTACTATAGTAAAAGAGTTAGATGTGACTTGTTGTGAGAGCTTTTTACTGTAGTAAAATTCGAATTTTAAATTCAAATCGATAGAATAAACATGTTAATATATATATATATATATATACACACACACACACCACTTTCTTTATATGCATTTTGACTTCAATCCCTCTTTTACTCCGCGTAGAGTGGAACTTTTTCCTATGGTTGAAACACAATCATTGTGTCCATAAATTGAGGACACTAAACAGGAGATTTCTTAGATAGAAATTGGATTTTTTTTTTATATGGTGTGGGGTCAATGGCTCCACTTTATTCAATAAATGAAACCATTAAAGTTCGAATTCTAGTGGACACATGCACACAGTCACACACCTAACCATTTGAATTAGCCTCAAGTGGCATATAAAAATTGGATTAAAGGAATTGAAAACCTTTGAATATTATTATTTTTTTTAAATTAATATTATCAGACGTTCTCTCGTACTGAACATTAAATTCTTGGTGTACATTATTAATTCTCAGTTGCAAGTGGTAATAAAAACCAAACCATAAAACAACGTGCTGCAAATTATGCTTATTTAAAGAGTGAAGTATCATTTGGCAAATCTGAACAAATTATTGAAAAAGAAAAAAAAAATTTCATTCTTGTGTGCTTTTTCTTCTGGTAAGAAGTCCAAGAAATCCCATTGTTTTAGCGTGACGACTAGACATGAGTAAACGTTACAAGCATCTTATGTTATATTGTATTATTTTTTATGACCAGCCATCCATTATGCAGGTATTATATTCATTTATGTTATCATTACATATTAATATTCTTTGCCTTAATCTCACAAATTGATAGGAAACTGATTCTCATCAGGAATGACAAAAACAAGCATTATGCTCGTGAGTCTTCATTAGGTTAATTAATTACAGAATCACGTGTTCTATCCTTGTAGAGGAAAACTATTAAAGAGTCCTCCTAATGCAGTCTATTATCTATTAAATTTAATTGAGATGAAAGAAACCAGCAGAATTATTTGATTCCTTGTGTCACTTCAAATAATGATAATAATAATAATAATAATAATAATAATAATAATAATAATAATAATGATAATAATACTGCTATGTGTCGTCACTTCATCAGTGTGGATGGTATTGCAGTTTGCGTTACATATTCTACTCCTATGCCTCCTAGCTGCTAACGCTTTTTGACCATACTTCTTTTGCTTATATTGAAGATGCTAACTTTGAGTCCAAATTATTATTATTATTATATTAATTTGAGGATTTGTATGAGATCAGTGGGTGTTTAGTGTTATTAGGCATGCCTCTAAAAGTTGCTTTTGAAATTGAAAGTTACTTCTGCCAGATAACGCTAGCATTTCAAGCAAGAGAGGAGAGAGAGAGCTGGTGGGTAACTATCTTGGAAAATAAAAAATCAAGGGATAATACTGACAACATATCTCGTGTGTTTGATTGAAATATTAAGGAATTCATGGATTAAAATTATGAGATTAAAATTATTTTTGATTTATGTGTATTTTTTATGAGAGAAAATACTGTAACGAATCATGAACCATGATTTAAATTATAATATGAATCCCCTTATCAAACGTATCATGTTTCATTTTATGTTTTATAGTAATTTCAGGTCCCAATAGTGGAGATGGTGAGAATTAGGGTGCGTTTAGAATTTGTTCCAAAACGTTTTTGTTTTCTGTGTGAAAATGAAAATGAAAACATTTTCATTTTTATTTTGAAATCATTTCTGAAAATGCGTTTGGTAGTTGTATTCTGAGATTGTTTTCAGTTTAAAAAAAAAACTGAAATTGCAGTCGAAGAAGAGCGGCGGCGGCGGGGGAGGGGGGGCAATCGGAGAAGAGTGGCGGCCGGGGGGGTGGGCGCAGTCGCAGAAGAGTGGAAAATGAAAACAAGAAAAATGAAAACGGAAAAAAACCGTTTTCAAAAACATGAGAAAAAAAAGAAAAAATGAAAACGGTGTTTTCAGTTTTGATTTTAAAAAATTTTACACCAAACGCGTTTTCTCCAACCGTTTTCAATTTTTATTCTCGAAAACCGTAAAAAATGAAAATAAAAACGGAAACGACCTGCTTAAATTCTTCATGTCGGATCATAAGGCTATTTTGGTCTATACGTGAGGCTAACGCCCGTGGCCCGTGGTGCCAACAAAATAAAGTTATACTTCTCTATTTTCCTCGCTTTTATTTTTCATTTAAACAATCCTTTATTTATATTTGGTCCTATTACAAATAAAAGCAAAGCCATTTCTTAGCATCGCTACCTCAAAAACAAAACCAAAAAAAAGCTCTGGTTTACTATTCAATTCATTAGCTATCCGGCGGTTGGGCTTAGATGACACGTCTTGTATTTTTACCGTAGTTATAACTCAATGTAAACATTTTTTGGCGCATGTATCTTTAGATTACACGAAAAGAACAATTATAATTTGTCGCGCTTCCCACACATTTAAATAAATAAATAACCACACATGGTACTCTTGATATCAAATTTCGTCCATTGTGATTGTGATTGTCATATCAATTAAAGTTTTGAAAACATTGGTGATCACAAATGAAAGTCAATGCCTATAACAAGCATGAGTGATTGGAACCTGTGGGTCCGAGAAGGAACCATTTATGATATGCTTAACAACCCAATGATTTGCAGCCTCTGTGTAGTGTACACCGTCCCAGCTAATATACAATGAAGGATCTTCACATGAACCTGCATAGATTTTAGTGCCATTTACTTTTGCCTTGTTTCCACACCAGACATGAACTTTACCTTCATGATAACCACAACAGATTTTTCCCTTGTCCAAAAACCCTGCATTGCAGTATCACTTTTGTTATAATTATGTTCAAGAGCTGAAATGATTATTGTTATTATTAATTTTTACCTTGCTTATTTGCATTGCCGATCAGTTTGTACTTTGCAGTGTACAAATCAACATATGTTAATGCAGCAAGAGGGAGCTTTTCTCTTAACTTGTTGACTTTGTGCTTGAGCAATCTGTTGAACTGTTTTGCCATGTCATTTTGAGCCTTGACACAGCCATGGTGGTCGAATTTTCCGGGTTTCTTCGAGCTGCGGGTGTGGTCACTGGCAAGCAACCAATGGGGCCTGTGTTGTGTATCCAGAATGACCTTGCCCCTAGTTTGTACAGATCCTGTAAAATACCATTATTATTATTATTAATAACATCCATGAGACATTTTTATGCTATAATGAATCACTTGAGTTATTTTAGTGGAAAAACAGTGCCGTTGTCTCTTCCCCC